AGGATTTGAATATATATATATATAAAAACTTGAAGGTTTTGTCAAAATGACTCCAAAAATCTAACTATGAATAAGAATACACTAAAACACTAGTCTCACAAAAACCCTTAATTGTTTCTTAGCTCTTGATATGTTGATTTTATACCGTAGCGCCATCTGTTTATGCGAAAGATAGTACATACTGAATTCATTAACTTTATTTCTATTTACATACAGAATATATCATTTAAGTTATTTTGAGCTGTATGATTCAATATAGTTGTACTTTTTTCTTTATTTCCTTTTAATCTCAATAGAGTATTTTGTATGAAAAAACTGAAAACTTACATTAACAATTTCCACCTCAATAGTTAGGAAACAACACGAAAAAGTAGCCCTTTTCTTACTCCGTAATAGCAAAACGATACATAAAATCTCGTATATATATTCTCGTGTATAAAAGCATATCATTACTACCCACATTTATCTTTTTCTCAAAAAATTTTAAATATAATATACTGCTTTGTTATTTCCAAAATGAATAATGTTTGATTCTTTGTAATTATGCGCTTCAAAGTACAATGATTTGGCGTCATTCTTGACTTTGTTTTGTGTTCTGGTTGACCAAACTACTTGGCCTAAAAATATTATTTATCGAGAATGGTATAAAATTTCCATAATACAAAAGAAAGGATTTAAATCGTAAATGTAACTTCCTGTCAAAATGGAATTAAAGATAAGACTTCGTGAATTAAAACAATATAGTGAATGACAAAAATTTATACCATGGTTTGCTTATAGCATATACAGGCTTCACCTACTAAAATTAGTAAGAATGTAGTATAGGAATATATCATGTTTTTCTATTTTCTTATTGTATTATTTAAATTACTACTTATTTTAAGAATCGACAATAGATAGTGAAAAAAAGAGTACAAAAAAGAAGGCGGAGGGACTTCATGTACCGTCATCTGATGCTCAAATTATCGCCGAAAACTAAATTCATGGAAAGAATCTATGTTCGATATTTACGAACAAGTGCATGAAGAATGTGCCGGTTTAATCCTTTATAAATTTCATGTTATGCCATCTGAAAAAATAGTTAAACTCGAATGGATAAAAGCAATAAACAGGAAAACATTATCCAAAAAATGTGTACATTTGCTCGTAACATTTTCTTGACGTTTCCTAAACTTAAATTTGGATATGAGGAAAAGGCTACGCCTGGTCGACAAAAGCTACAGAGACAAGAAGGTTAAATAAAAATACGAAAGCTGATTGACGCTGATGAACAATCTGACATTCATGTTAATGATTTGCCCCAAAACCTTTCAATGGATGTTGACACTAAATTGAATCAAGAAGTCACATGCAGGCAAGACGTAAATCAATATTCTATATTGTTACGTATCTGCTTGTTTGATAATTTCCCGTAAAAAATATTTCCGAGAAACTTTAGCGATACAAGTCCTTTCTTAATTAAAACTAGTTTATTCTTTCTCGTTATAAACTTTGTAATACACTTAATTTCCACAGTCACTTTAACTTAGCTCTAATTCACAGCGATTCACACACTTTATTTACGACTTGACTGGATTATCTGTCTATCTTGCAAATTCTCTATGCCGTCACTTCTCCCCCGCTTTATTTGCTGGGCTTATATATACAAAAATAGAGGGCGCGTAGAAAAGACTAGAGTGGCCAGGAACAGGCATGATCCTTCTAGAATATCATGACGTGTTACTAGCGTCACGTGAATTCCGCTGTCGTAACACTATGTACTGCTAGCATCCAGTATGATGAATCCGACTATGTTATATTTAATGATCATATGTACGGAAAACCCTGGTCAGACTTTCAAACAAGATGTATCCAAACTAATTTACTGCTAACAGAAGAAAAAGGAGTGCAGAGTGAACTTGAAAGAGACAATGTTAGCTTTAAAAAATGTGGCTACAAATAGTGATGTACTTCTCTATACAGTCATTATGTATGTTAAATAGGTTTATTTAACAAGTCCTTTCTTAATTAAAACTAGTTTATTCTTTCTCGATACAACTTTGTAATACACAGAATTTTAATACACAGTCACTTTAAACTTAACAACCTTTATAACACACGCTATAAATCACAGTGATTCACATACTTTACTTACGGTGCCTACTGCTC